CAAATGATACTAGAGAAGTCACCCTAGGTACAATTAACAAAACAGTACAAACATTTTATTATAAAATGTATACAACTAAAGCATATTTTCCAATGATGACGAATGTTGGAATGTGAAAAATGTCCCGTTGCTATCAATCTACAATGCTGAATCAGTGATTTTACTGTAAAGAGCTGATCATGTTTGTTAGAGGAAGAAAGTGCCAACTAACCGAAACAATGTGTGTATTCTATTACTCTTCCCATTTGATGTTTGACAAAATAAAAAGGTACCTACCCAAACCACAATATCAGGGTTATGTATCCAAACAAGTTTTGTTTATTTGAATCAATATACAGGATTATGCACGTTTATGGGTTTATATTACCACAGCCACAGATGGTAGCCACTGAATATATGACATTTTTACATGGATGCACATGTTTTCAATGATGCTAAACTTAATAATTTATGTATTTTTTTATATAGCCCATGAGACTGAAAGGCAGCCAAAGAGAGCCACATCTAGAAATGTTGCTGATGTAAACTAAATTAAGTTGAGCATAATGTTGTGCAAAACAAAATGAAAATTAAAAATAAAACATATGTATCGGATGCAGTTTTAGTACTAATCAAGTACTATGGGTCAAAAGGTGATAGACATCATGTGCTTATATTAAATGATTGAAGGGAGAACATCTTCTGTTTAATGCCCCAGAATACTGTCCTCTCTGGCCTTCTTAAAAGATTACACAGCACTAAAGGCAAGAACATTCTTTATCCATCTGTGAAGAAATACAGACTGTGGCGGATGCAGGGGAGCCTGAATACATTGAATAATTAGAAAATAGTTCCCTAGAGATACAGAATTTAAAGGGTTACTGTTTAAAAAACAAACACATGCTCTGGAAGTAAAATAAAAATAAAAAACCTTACCTGAAACTTATTGGAAAGTAATTTTTTTCTTGCAATTAATATTTAGGTCAGCTGATAGCATATAAGTGAGGTGAAAAATGTCATATTGGAATTTAGCAGACTATACTTTCAAAGGAATTTCAACTGTTAAAGCTTAGTATCTCTTTGGTTACTTTCAGCATTTGTAGAAATTATTCAGAAGTCTGTAAAGTCTTTTCCCATGCTACTATTGCTAACAAAAACACTTTAATTATCTATATGTGTGTTTATAAATTAAGCACACTATGTAAATGTATTCTAATATGTTTTGCTATAAACTAATAATTAATAACTTCTAGGATAAATTTGCAAGAATAGAAAACAGTTCTTTTAATAGTTCACAAAATAAGCTTTCTTATGGGCAAAATTTAGGCAAGTCATGATTCTGCCTAATACACTGTACATACCATTACTTCATGAAGTTTCATTTAACAGATATTTTGCCTGAAATGCAATCACATGGTATAAATTTGATATAAATTGAGTGGAATGAAAAATACCTAAGAACAAATAATAAATAGTGAATGTTTTGAAAGTAATAATACAAATTTATAAATTAGGTTTTGGAAGAAAATCTTGTTAACAAAGCTGAAGTTTTAAAATCAAAAATGTTATCTTTGATAAATCATTGAACAAAGGTTAATTTACTCCAACTGTACAAATTTTTGATATTAAAAGGAGGGATATTTTTCAAATGTCAAATGTCACAAACACACTCACACATGCACATACATACAATTCACAGACTTTTCTTTGTTTTTTAAAGCTCAGCCCATAACAAAGCTGAAAAGTGAAGAGACCACACAGGTACCATATTTCTCAGAAGAAGAAACAATTAGCTCTGAAATCTGCTTCAGGAAAAGTACTAGTTTAATAGCTACACACTGCTGGTCTGAGCTTCGGGGTTTTCCAGCAAACACCATTTTTGCTCTTTTGAAGTGTTTTGATGTTAAGAATCCATCTATTATATGAAAGTAAATGCTCAGGCTTTCTATCTTCACCTAAAGGTGTGGGCTACATGAATCCTCTCTATAAAGATATCAACAAAGAAAAAGACAGAGGGAAAATTGTGAATTCAATCTGAAAAGGCCTTCAAAAGAGATTAGCAGCGGCAGAGAATTACATCCTAGAAACAGTCTAACAAATGTTTAGAATTGGGTCCCATTTCTCTTTATATTTTCATCCATTTTTAGAAACTCATGTTAGTGGCTCAATTTTTCAGAAATTACTTAAACTTGCTTTAAGCCTATTCATCCTCCTTGGTTGAACAGCACTGATGATCGCTGTGCGTGAGATTCTGAGAGGGGACAGTAGAGAATCATGGAATCCCGTAGCTAATTTTTCTTAGCATCATAAACCTTGCTTCCCAACACTTATCACAGTTCTAATTTTACATTTATTTGAGAGTTAATTTGATAGTATCTGTCTCTCAACTAAACCAACTGTTGAGAAATTGTTTTAACTCACCTTTTATCTCTAGCATATGCAGTACTGTCCGAGTCATAGTAGGCATTCAACATAACATTTGATGAATGAATAAGTGAATAAAAGCAGAGGTGACTCTCGTAAAATCCTTTGGCCTAATCCTACTGAAGACCACGGTGAGCAGTAAGCCTAATAGCTCTGCGGATGATATGTTGATGCATAACTTACAGTATTGGAAGATCAAACAAATTAGATGGAGTAACGCTAGGCATAAGTTAAATTAGTAGCTTTTAAAAAAATTTTTTTGCCCTCTGTTACTTTAGAAAAATTTTCCATCTCTAAATACGGTTTCTTTCAAAATAATCTTTAATCCTATTGAATATTTATTTTTGTATCTATTGTAGATATTCTAATTAACTCCTCAAACCGGTTACTAATGTAAAAGAAGGTATAGTCAATGATACAATTTTATTCATTTCAGACTTATGCTTTGCTTCTAGTTACCTGGAATCTTTCATCACTGTACCTTTCCTGTGTGAACTCCTAATGATTCTAAAATATTTATGCACATATGGATGATTTCTAATTAACTCTGGAGTGTCAAATGACAGTGATTTGAGGAATTTACTAAAAGCATGAACTGAATAAAAGAGGAGTAAGCCTATCTTGTATAGTTAAGGTAGTTTAAAAATAAATTTTCGTTTTAGAAATCATATATGTTATGACCACATAATTATTATTATTATTTTTAATTATTTTATTTATTTATGGCTGTGTTGGGTCTTCATTGCTCCGTGCGGGCTTTCTCTCGTTGCAGCGAGCGGGGGCTACTCTTTGTTGCGGTGCGTGAGCTTCTCATTGCGGTGGCTTCTCTTGTTGCGGAGCATGGGCTCTAGGCGTGTGGACTTCAGTAGTTGTGGCACACGGGCTCAGTAGTTGTGGCTCGCGGGCTCTAGAGCGCAGGTTCAGTAGTTGTGGCACATGGGCTTAGTTACTCCACGGCATGTGGGATCTTCCCGGACCAGGGCTCGAACCCATGTCCCCTGCATTGGCAGGCAGATTCTTAACCACTGCACCACCAGGGAAGCCTGACCACATAATTATTAACCAATGTTTTGATAGGTGAAATAAAGGCAAAAATAATCAATAGATTATTTTCCTATGTGTAGAAATGTATGTTTTAGAAAAGTTTATGAAGATATTAATCAGCATTTGCTAAAGAGGTTGTGCTATGTGATAGAATTAGCACAAAATGGATTCTAGTTCAAGATCATCCAATTAGCTAACGGTGCAACCTTGGGCAAACCATTCTGACCCTCAGTTTACTGTCTATAAATAAGCATGTTTGGATCAATAAATGCCAAACCTAAAGTTCCACAATTTTCTATAGCAACCTCAAGAGTTATCATTCTAGTTCTGATATTCTTGCAAATTTTTGAATGGAGAATTTGAATACATTGTAAATAGCTTGCCAGGTTTCATAACTAAGACAAAGATTGAGAAACTCAGCAAAGAGTAGTTTTTTGTTGTTTGAAAGAAAACATAATTTAGTTGACCTTGATGAGGATTAAGTACGTAGACACTGCATGTAAAATGTTTAGAGCCTTAGAGCTCAAAAAGTAGTTGAGCATTTACTATTGAAAAAAATCTTAGCATATTGAATTGAACAGTGAGTTTTAGAGTGTGTACTGGTTGGTAGTGTGATATTAAATTTTTATTTTGGGGAAAAAAGGAATAAGTCATTAGAAAATGTCAAAGGAGAGGTGGGATAAGGAAAATAAGATGGAGAGACGATCAATAAAGAATGAGAACTCCTTTTGCTCATAAAATCTTTTCGATAATTGGTTGGTGAGAAACAGCGCATATACTCAGCGGCGACGCATTCTGATGTGTCCGCCTCTCCCGCTTGGTCTCCCTCCTCCTTTCAGAGGCCTTCTCCTCCTCCCGATTGACAAATGCCTAACTAGCACCTACCCAGGGGACAGAACGTGCATGTAAACTATGATGACCGTAATGTGCTGAAAGCTTTAGTACCATCACTCCAGTTGTACGTATGTGTGTACTTAACGTGTGTGTGTATTATACTTAAAATCTACTTTTATACAGCATACTTTTACACAGTACAAAAAAATAAGTGGTATTCTCACAGGCTCAGTTTTGCCATCAATCATATCAGCAGATATATTTTGAGTTCGTTCTGTTAAAGAAAGGTAATGCTCAGACTACCCTATACACTCATTGATTGATATATTTTGTTGTTACTACTTATTAAATTGAAAAGTGGACCACATATAGTGTTGATCTGGGGTTAAATAAGACTAACAGAGTATAAAGAAGTCTGATGGAGAGAAATAGACCGGTAGGGGTGTAAAAGAGCCAATTGTCCTTGACTATATTCAATTAGTATGTTCACATAACTTATACTTGTCTTTCCTCAGATGAACTGATCTCCCTAAGTCCAAAACAAAACTTCCCTCTTCCAAGTAACGTATCTAGGTGTTTGTAATGATGTGTGGATTTTCTTTGCTGGTTAAAGCTGTGTGTGTGTGTGTGTGTGTGTGTGTGTGTGTGTGTGTGTGAGAGAGAGAGAGAGAGAGAGAGAGAGAGAAGGATATAGTTTATAAGTGCCTTGGCTTACTTACTTTCTTTGCCACCCTTCTCTTCTCACATTTCCCAGTGGCAGTGTAGGGTGAGATGTGATGGAATAGTTGAGAATAAGGTGAGGTTTTCACCTTCTCAAAGTCACCACTGTTGTTTCTCCAGGCTCAGATTTCCAATGTTTTTGATCCTGTACAAAGGATATGCTGAATTTATATTTTGTAAAATGCCAAATAAGCAAGTAGCAAAAACAAAATTAGGCCTAACCTAAGGCAAATCCAAATCTCACCATCATAGAATGAACTAGAAAACAAGAAAAACTGAAACATTTTAAAACTAGTTATTTACCCCCAAAAAATGTTTAATTTTTTTTTTAAAGTTTGGCATTATAATGTACTACTTTTTTAGCATGGTCTATAACTTCTTTGTGCCAGTATTCTATCATAAGTTTGCAATATCATATGGATGCTCAAATATGATACTTGTTTGGTTGCTATGATGATCATAATACAATGATTAAAGCAAGGAGGGTCTCAACTTGTTTTGACACATCTATACATTAAATTTTTTAAATTAAGTGATGTTTTACAATTGCTGTAGTTACTTGGTAAATGTAATTATGTGAATTAAATGTTTATGATGTTTTGTAATTAATAGTTACCAAACTTTCTTTTGTAAATTAGTGTGTGCAAGTTTGAAAATTGAATCTGAGTAAATTAGTATTCATTTAGCATATTACTTAAATAAATGAAACTGCAATTTTGAAAGACAAAATACTCATTCTATTCTGAGGTCAGTGAAAGATGCAAAGATATTTTCATCTAACTCAGATGGTGATGCTATGACCAACTTATTATTTTCCTTCCTGTAGTGAATCACCGAGATAAAGACCTATCTCCATGTTAGTTCCAGAACTCGAAGACTGGTAAAGATGAATTTCATTGAGGCAATCCACAACTTACATAATTTTTTAATGCTTAAAGAAAATACTTACTGAATGTTTTCACAAAATTAACATGATTGCCCTAACTTGTGTTTTTATTTATAAATGCACATGCCTGCTGCTTCACAAAGTCACCTGAAAAAAAAATCCTTAATCCTTGGATCTACATTTGGGCAAAAAATCAATGTAATTGGTAGGCAAAATAAAAATAACATTTCTGAATTTCCACCTGGATCTCTACTTTCACTGAATATACACTTTGTTCAAGACCTTTCTTGGAACAGAATGTTTAGTAGAGTCTTCACAGCAGGTAACACAAGAAACATTTGCATTCTGAAAGAATACCATTTGGATTTCTTCTACAGCTGGTTTCAGCAAACTATTTTCTCTGCAAGCAATCATTGGATGTTATTAAGTATATGTTATCTGAAAAGTACTGCATTAAAACATTCGTTGCAGCCTCATTTTCAACGTGAGAGCTGCTAGTCTACCTTGCTGGAACATCTTGCATAAATAAATGCCAAGGAAGTTGTAAAACCTCTCCTCTTTTATGGAATTTGGGTGAAGGAGAATGATAAAAACATGCCATTATCTTTCTGCTTATGACCAGTAATTATGTCACGTCACTTTAACCACTTTCTAAACATATAAAGAATGTGAAAAAAAATGGTTAAAGGAAGAAAATACTGGGTGAGACTCGGGGGCTGAACCTGGTTCCAATCATCTCCTTATTTCCAAAAGCTTCTATTCAGGACCCAGCCTCCTCTTAGCCTCACCCCTGTGCACAAAGCCTCATCTCCTAGATCATATTAACAACCAACCATATGGAAGGGAGAAAGGACCGGAACCCAACACTGCTAGGAGCCGTCTCCTTATACCATCGTGAGAGAGCTAAATATGCCTTCTCCATAGAAATGTTATATACTACACGGTAGGTTTAGGTTGCATTGCACTGGCTTAGGTCTGGGGGCTACTTCTAGGAAAAATTAACTTCTAAATCTAACCAAATCAATAAATGACTTTAGAAGGCTATTTTGAAGTGGCTGACAGTCTGTTTTTTACCATATTAGATCTATAGCTGTCATTTGAAAGGGCTATTCATTCAAGTGCTTTGGAGTAATAGTTTCAAATGCCTTTAGCAAGTTGGAAAAGTCACTGCCCTCAGATGACTAACACAGGAAAGGTCAATTAAGTAATAGTCTATTCTATTCTACCAAGCTTCTTCCCCCGCCAATGCCAAAATATAAATTTATTTTTCAAGAGCTCAAAGGTTTTAAGAAGAGTTCTGTATTATGAATTAGTTATATTTTTAAAACTACCTTTTCTGTTTAATCTAGATTACATAAGGCATCTAATTTTCACCTATTTCTCACACCTGAACCTTCTTCCCTTGATTCTATGGGTCATTCCTTGATTTCAGATCCTTATTACCCTGGAATATTGTAATTATCTTTCAGAAGGACTTTTGGCTTCTAATTTTCCCCACTTCTAACACATGTTATTGGCAGACTAGGTTTCTCAATGTAAGGAGCACTGATATCACTACTATGTTCAAAGATTTTTATTTGTTTGTTTGATTTGTTTTGTTTTTTTCCAGTATCTTTCCTGTTCAATTTGTGAAGTCCTAACTTTCTTAGTCGGGCATCCAAAACCTGCTTTGATATCTTGCATATCTACGTTTTCATTCTCGTTTCTTACTTTCCAGTTTTATAGATACTTATTTCAGGAAAGTTGGACATTTTCATATTCTCCTTAACACACTGCCCACATTCCCACATCAGGACTTTGTTCACATGGTTTCCTCACGAAACAGCCTCACTTTGCAGCCTCTCCCACTTACAGCCCTGCACTTTCCAGGTGCTTATGTTCTGCTCCACCTGGAAGGATCTTTCTCAAACGCTATCTTAACTACAGTCTATCCATACGCTTAATTTATAATCTCTTCTGCATAATCTTAGGCTGTATCTTTTCTCTGAACTCCAATAGAACTTTTTTAGTCTTTGTTTAAAAAAATATTTGTTTTATTTATTTATTTGGTTGTGCCGGGTCTTACTTGTGGCTTGTGGGCTCCTTAGTTGCGGCATGTATGTGGGATCTAGTTCCCTGACCAGGGATCAAACCCAGGCCCCCTTCATTGGGAGCACGGAGTCTTAAGCACTGTGCCACCAGGGAAGCCCTCTTTTAGTCTTTTTTGAAATATCCCTTTCTGTCTTCAAAGTGTTAGGCAAAAAAACCTACAGTTTTGGTTCATTTAATCAGCCTATGAAAACAAATATTATATGAACATATTCATATTTCCAAAATAAATTAGGCTAAAACATACACCATGCTGTTTTTCTTACTAGCACACTCCCACTCTTCTTGGTAACTATTGCATACTTCTACTCTCTCCTCATTATACCCACTCCAATCTTCACTTCAGCTACTGGTCTTAGTCCTACATTACTAAGAAGAGAGGCAATAAGAAAACTTCCTTCCAGCAACATAGATAGACCTAGAGATGATCACACTAAGTGAAGTACGTGAAAGAAAAATATCACATGATATAGCTTATATGTGGAATCTAAAAAAATATTATACAAATAAACTTATTTACAAAACAGAAACAGACTTACAGACATGGAAAACAAATTTATGGTTACCAAAGGGGAAAGGAAGGAGGGATAAATTAGGAATTTGTGATTAACAGATATACACTGCCAGGGCTTCCCTGATGGCGCAGTGGTTAGGAATCCACCTGCAATTTCAGGGGACACGGGTTCGAGCCCTGGTCTGGGAAGAGTCCACACACTGTGGAGAAACTAAACCTGTGCTCTGCAACAAGAGAAGCCACTACAATGAGAAGCCCACGCACCGAAACGAAGAGTAGCCCCCGCTTGCTGCAACTAGAGAAAGCCCGTGAGCAGCAATGAAGACCCAATGCAGCCAATAAGTTAATTTAAAAAACAGATATACACTACCATATATAAAATAGAGAGACAACAAGGTCCTACTGTATAGCATAGGTAACCATATTCAATACCTTATAATAACCTATAATGGAAAAGAATCTGAAAAAGAATATATATATTCTTTATATATGTATATAACTGAAACGCTCTGCTGTACATCAGAAACTAACACAATATTTTAGATCAACTAAACTTCAATGAAAATGAGAAGAGAACTTCCACAAGCTCACAACAAATCTTCTGCCCATTAACCTGCTTCTCAGTATACAGAAGTCTGCCCTGTCTCATTTCACCACAAACTCTCCTTGCTCTTATTAACAGTAACTTTTTACCGTGGGTAATAGACCTCATTCTCTCTTGCCTCTGTGCCAGGATATCATTCCAAAGGTCTCTCCTAATTCTTTCTATCTATACTATATAATTTCAGTTGGTATAAAACCATAATGTAATTGTTTTTATGAAAAAAAGGAAAACCTTCTGGGTTTCTGTAGAATAATGACAACCACCTACACTGGAATCTTTCCTCACAGTCTCTAGAAAACCCATATAGAACAAGAAGGAATGCACATGAAACCACCCTTAACATTCCTAGATGTTAACTAGGAGACAGAAAATACCACGATCCTTAATTTACATAGAAGTAAGGAAACAAACATCCAAAAATGAGTGGGGCCAGGTCTGGAGGCCAAGAGTGAGGAAGAGACTGAACAGAAACAAGGAGGTGGTGGGGGCCAAGCAATGGCAGAAAACATAAAAGGACCCCTGAGAGAGAGGGTTCTACACTTAGGTACTGAGAAGAGGTCACAGCGTGGACATAACAGGACCCCTGAGAGAGAGAGTTCTACACTTAGATACTGAGAGGAGGTCACAGCGTGCATAACAGGACCCCTGAGAGAGAGAGTTCTACACTTAGATACTGAGAAGAGGTCACAGCGTGGACATAAAAGGACCCCTGAGAGAGAGAGTTCTACACTTAGATACTGAGAGGAGGTCACAGCGTGGACATAAAAGGACCCCTGAGAGAGAGAGTTCTACACTTAGATACTGAGAAGAGGTCACAGCATGGACTCCTGGGGAATTATAAAGAAAGGACTTAAAAATGCAGGATCAAAACTAGCAATTTTAGAAAGGCAAGGCATAGCTTCTGGGAGAAAGGGAGGCATTCCTTGGGGCATTGGTGCTGGTGGGAGAGAACAAACAAGTGGTGGAAACTAAGCATTCTATGGAAAGAGAATTCAAAGTCAGAAGACTTACCAACCCTTCTCTTCCCCTGAATTAAAAGGAGCCATCTATGAA